GAGGACAGTAGAATAGGGTAAAAAGTTTATATATAATAGGCATTAAAATATTCATCTATCTATATATCTATCTATCTATCCAGATAGAGGGCAGACAGACAAACAAAAGGCCAGACAAAGACGACACAGGAAACAAGATCCAAGCACATAAAAGAGAACGATTATGAACATGTCTGGGGTACAGGGCTTCCAGAAGGAAGTTGTGTCTCGCCATCGATTGAAACAAGACATCGGATAGGTTCAATTCATTTGCAGCATTTGTCAACACACGAAATCCGATCAGGACGGCTGCCGAGCATGTACAAAACAAGCATAATGTTGATTATCGAGGAAATCTGCTGGAACCGTGCGTTCCTCCCCAGCTGCTTTATGGCTGATGTTATAACTGGGGAGCTGCTGTCGCTGCTGCTTGTTGTGACGGAATAGAGAGAACAGTTGTGCAAGACACAGCTGTTGATTTGTCTTCAGGGATATGGCAGATGAACACAAGCGGTAAACTTGTTACGAACAAAAGAAAGCCCACCGTGAAAGCCTGGAGTAACAAAAAGCGTTGTCTCGGGTTTCCAGCACTGTTTTCTTCTGTATTATAAGCCTCACAACAGAGGGTGGTATGGCAGTAACACCCGATTCGAGAAGCTGTAATAATTGTCCAAGGAAAATGAACAAATAATTTGCACTACGTAAGATTTCAGCATGTAATTTTACACTCTTCGCCTCTACTCCAACATCCAGTTACTAAAATTAGGATTTCAAATTACACGACACAACTTAGGTAAGGAAGAAACGGCAGTCGTCACATAATAATTTGCAGAGGTAAAATATTGTTTCGAGCAAAATAGAATAAACAAAGATAAAGATGGCATGTGGTTTCTACTATGGCCAATAAGTTCAATTCTGGCAGAGACGAGCTTGCCACATTTCGAGCGTCTAAAAGCTTCATTTCCACTTGTGGTTGTGCGCCGTCACAATGATACACCAGTTTCCAGAAACTATCCCTGAGGCTGAGCGCGAATATCGGAAAGAGTCCATACATATGCCAAGAGAAGCCGGACACATGAAACCAGGGGCTCGCTTTTCTTCTTTTCCTCCATATTACAATAAGCCTCGGGTAGTCGTGAGGTAAACAGATTACAATGGTTAAATTTAGTAACGACAAGATGTTGTCCGACCGGCAGTCACTCAGAAGAAGTTCGTTGTGTACTCGTCGAAGGACAACCTGAGGTTTCTCACGTGCAGCAAAGGTCAGCGGCGGCTAAGCTAAAGGGATGAGTTGTACATACCAGCTTCCGTGTCAAGCTAAAGTGCAGCGTGAGTCGGTTGAGTAATGAATACATTTCCATAAACTTGTATTATTACTACTACTACTACTACTACTACTACTACTACTACTACTACTACTACTACTACTACTACTACTACTACTACTACTACTATTAT